TCATTCGCAGAAGTGTCTTTAGAGTTTGAAAGGATATTTAATGACCGTTGTATCGTATGTAATTATATTTTTATTGGGCTTAAATGAAAAAAAATCAGGCCCAAACATTTCCTTTTTTTGGTTTTTTTTTTTTAACTAAAAGTCTAAAACCAAGAAAAGGAAAACCTCAAATCTGATTTCCCTAATTTCTTGTTTGGTTTGAGTCACAAAGTAGAAGAAGGGTTTTGGATACCATACCACTGATTGAGTAAAAATTTCGTTTACTAAGCTTTTTTTTTTTGCTGTGGAGATAAAGATTTTGATGGTGATGGAATTTGTATCATGGCATGGGTCACACTGATGTGGCATTTGGAAACTTTCGAGTAAGAAGATGGGAGCAAGTTTGATATATGATCAAGAGATGAGTATATTTGACCATCTTGAGGTGCTACGAATCTCTCGAAAGAAGTAATCATGTTTCTTGGACAGTCAAAATGTTTCTGTAACATATGAATTGATCATCTATCTTATGCTCTCTACTTGACACTAAGTGTTGTTACCTTTTAAAGCCTCTGCCAAGATTCAGGATTCAATCTGGCTTGCCGTTGGTCTTTGCAGGTTCATTTACTTCAGCCACTCTTTGGGACAAGTAGAACTAGTGATAGGAGATGAGATGCTGTCCAATTTGGAGATATGAGGTGGTTGCAGAGGCTGTAATCACTCCATCAACACCGCGTCTTGATCAAAGCTCGCAGATCGCTGAATTTGATCATTACTCTTTGTTGTAGTGCACATAAAAGGCTCCTTTTGCATCATTTTCCGTCCAAGGCACTTCTGAACAACCAGAAATAAAGCTTTATTGCGACAATGATTGATCATGATGTTTATTATTACCGTCGAAAATCATGTAGCATTATTACAAAAGAAAAAAGATGCAGCTACCACTAGTCCAAACCGGAGGAACATTTGGTCACTGTAATCTTTAGATGCAGAGCTCTGACTCGGTAAGTGCTGTTCTGCATCGCCTTACGTTAACCATAGGCGACAGCCATTCGCTTCCTCGCATCACGGGCCTAGAGTTCAAATATGTATACAATTGAATATCTCTATGTTTATTTCACTATAGA